AACGCTATGAATAACTCACTCGGAACATCCATAATGTTGGCTTGGATATATCACCGATGGCGATACGTTCACCACTGGGTGAGACGCGAAGCACATGTGCTTGGCCGAATGGTCGACTAGTAGGTCCGAATGCGTACTCGATTAAACCAGTACCAGCACGACCAACGAAGACACGGGCAGGACCCTAAATAGCTTCAACTCTGTATTTTTGCAAAACTGATACTAATGGTGAAAAGCTTGAGTATTAAAAAAATTGATAATGAATAGCTGATTGACGCAAAATTATGTAAAAATTGAACACACCGATGCATCGGCTCGCCCTGGAACCATATAAACATAGTCATTGAAAGTGTCTGCTGAGTAGATGTTTGAGAAAAGGCTGAACTCGATCATTAACTTGCACTGAGGCAGAAAAAAAGTTGTTTGTTAACTCACTTTGCTGCCCACTGCATTATGAAATCTCCTCGCGTAGACAATTCTTGTACTCTGCCATTTTCACGATCAGCTACAAACAAATGACCACCAGCTGGACTCGTCACAACATCATGAGGAAGATTGAACTGAGCCGGCCCATTGCCCGGCAAACCAAATTCATACTGCAATAGAGCCATCCACAAGGGAACATCAAGAAGTTCTTAAAAAACAAACCATTCTTTTTCCGGTAGCGCTGTCTAACTGCACTATTCGGCTGTTGCAGTAGCCATCAGCAACAAAAACACCTTCATCGGATTTAACTACGCCAGCTGGCTTGCAGAAATGTTTATTGTCGGCATCCGGCATTAATTTCACGCCACTCTCCCAGACCAAGTCGAGATCTGCAATAGAGACAACTAGAAATACTTTTGCGGTTATCGGTCAAAGAATTCATGATTTTCAGAAGATCAAATGTCTATTCTGTCAACAAGTTTGTGGTGTTTATTTTACAGCTTTGTTCGGTGGAATTTTGAGCGAATATTTTAATCATATATACATTGTTTATGTATGACATGATAATATAAATTTACCAAGCAAAATGTTCTATACTGAAAAAAACCCTTACACAAGAACCTGCAAAAAAACTTAAACGAGCTTTCAATGACTATCATTAAAAACAAACAACTTGCGAGAAGAGAAAAGGAATTGGGGCTGCACTGATTGGTCAGAGTATTTCAAAGTTACTCCTACCATTTCCATTAATATTCCACTTGGCTACAGTATGTGATCCAACATCTGTGGTGTATAAGAAACCATCTCTGTCTGCATGAATACCATGCGGCATATAAAACCTGTAAATAAGATTTGTAAGATTACTAACTTAATATGAACAACTTATTAGATATAAAATATATATGAAACAGTTTACGTAAGTTTTTGTTTGATTTAATTGTTAAAGACACAAGATTGTCAAAGATGCTGAATGCCAAAGATTACGGTGTCTTTCTGACAAGCACACTTAACCTACCATTCGTAAAATTTCGTTGATAATAGATTTATACATTTGCAAGATGTTTACAAGCAGCTAGCAAGTCACCTTGCCAAACTTTTGAAAATGCTCAAAAAGATTAAAGAAGAAAAAGAGAGATCCAAAACAAGATGAAGTTGATAAATTACAATAAGCCATGAAATGCTAACTAAAAGTATGATAAACCATAAAACTCGGAAAAAACTGATTTCGAGCACTGTT